TATATATATGCATGTAAGGACAGGGATTCAGTTATGTCATGTTAGTAACATTATTTATCTTGGCCTTCATGCATTCATTAGACTGCAGATTGTGGTGTGTTTTTTAGGTGGTTTAACAAGTTAGTTTGCAGTGCAGACACAAGTCTCATGCACTTGTTGCATGTGATTTGTTCTTCCCTAAATCCACAATACTTCAAACAACAGATGAGGATGGTTGATAAATGGATCGTTTTTCGTTTAGCCTGTCTGCTGTCGTACCGATAATTTAACTTTTTCACAAGCTGCTGCAGTACGGAGCATGCGTAGCGGAATGACGGATCTTCAAACGTGGAGGGTGGCTGTTAGTTTAGGAGGCGCTTGATTTAATGTGCAGCAGAGTTTTATATGATCTGAGAACACATTTTGAATATTGATATCATAGTCAATCATGTTAATTTATTGTAGGAAGCCAAAATCCTGACCTTGATTAATATTCAATTAATTGTGGGCCACTAATGTGCAAGAAACCGACACTATGTTCTAGGTTGATCTGAATACATCTGAATGGGTCAAAGTCTACTAAAAGACCTGACGTTCCTTTGCCGATAAGCCAGATGGAATTCTTTTTGGATTGCTGAGGTAAACTCAGAGATGATGAGTGATTTAGTCAAGGCCTCTTTACTCTGATCGACTAGGGTTGAATTCTGGTCTAACTGGCTTTGGTGTGAAAAGATGATTTCACACCCCTGTGATAACTAGAGGACTAAAATTTCATTTCTAATTTCAACACTGATTCTGGGTGCTACAACTCAATCATTTGTGAAAGTGGCAAAAGAGTTATATAGCATTTTTAATGCACAGATGTAAGAGGGTAGACTGGGAAGGCTTGTGATGAAGGTCTTTTGCTGGATTTGATCTTACTGTTGGTGACCTGGCTGAATGTCCAAAAAGGCAGTGACTTCTTTTGTCTTTGCTTTTAGTGTCAAGTGTTGAGCCAAGTACTGTTCAGTGAAAGAACCCATCAGAGTCTGAGTGAAGAAAATTTTTCAGATTGGACTGGATCTCAGCAGAAAGATGAGCAGGGTCTCTTTCAGGATTGTGCCACGATGGTGATGATGGGTTATCATTAGCAAAGAATATTTCAGACTGAAGGTTGACTTGCTGATAAATCGACTAGAGATTTTACAAGATGACACCTGCAATATGGGAGAATATAGGAGCAGTAGACTTGAGGCAGTTGACTGAAGTTGAAGCAATACAGCTTGACCCTGTCCTGTTACTGAGTACGTAGTGACATGTTTGATTGTTGGAACAGGCATGATTTTAGGATGAGGGAAAATTTATTTTCTTTCAAGACACAATTAGGAAGCTATTTGTACTGACCTTTTATCAGTTAATTGTACAGTGCGATATGAGTGGTAAGATAAACCAATTGCTTTCATGCTTTGAAAAGTGCCTTTTACTGTAGATGCTTCACATGTCTTATACTTAAAGGACAAGTAGAGATGTCTTCCAGCTTAGTCTTTACTTTTGCATGGACACGCATGTGTGCATTTTCAGGACATGCCTTATGGGTGTATGTGATAACCCACTCAGCCTGAATCTAAGTAATATTTCTGATGATATATCAGTAAAATCTATTCACCAAAAAACAAATATCTGGACTGTAAGTGCAGCCTGTTGGTAAGATATACTTGAGTGACATAAAGCACTAAGCTATGCCCATTTCACACATGCCATGGATCCTCCGCAGTCAGTCACTGTACTTGTTTTAGTCCCGCTTCTGTGTGCTTGACTGAACATGTTTGTTCTTTTTGACTCAGTGAGCACAGCTGAGCCTCAGCCACAGTGAGTAGGCATGACTGCAGATTTACTGAGCAATACTGGCGACTCTCCTCAGCAGCAATTAGCTCATTTTGAGCCAGACATCACCAGATCTGTTTTTTTAATTAAGTTGCCATATGTAGAAAACAGTTGTTAAATCAGCAAATTGTAGTTGCATTTGGTCACTGAATTAATATTTTTGTTTGACTGAGTTTTTAAAATCACAAGGCATATTAACAGCTGCTCAGTTGGCAACAGTAAGGTGGTTTCATTTGCATCATTGGTCAACCCAGTTACACAAACAACATTTTTACATATTGTCTGAACAGATGCAAGAAGTAAACTGTATTTAATAAACAAACTACACCTTGTTTTTTTACATCAAGTTTCACCACTGGGGGCTTGAATTGAATGGGGCATTCAGCCTGTTGCTTTACACTATGAGGGTCAGAACTTGCTTGAAAGTGTTGTTATCTTTCAGGTTTTGCTCACAGCTTAACTGTGTGACTGAGCTGGGAGACATAGAGGAAGATGCCTCCCAGGCCGTCCTCAGGGGAGCTATGGGGCATCCACTTGATGCCTCCCAGGTATGCACACTGGATTCTATTATGGATATAGGTGCATTTTCTTTTATTGTGAACCCAGGCACTGACAATTATTACTCTAAAAGCTCCAAAATTTACATGTCTATGTAGTTATCATATTATTTTGTATATATATTTTTCACTGAATGTTAAGAAATTCTTACTATGCCAAACAGGCATAGCAAGTGAAAAATAAATAATTGATGTAGTCATCTGCATATACTGATGCTGAGTGTGTCTGCAGGATCCTGGTGGACTGCCTGCTGCCCAATGGGATGATTCTTACCCTGGAGTGTCTCCGTGAGGCCACGCTCATCACCATCAAACATGAGCTGTTCAAAGAGGCCAGGAAATATCCCCTCCATCACCTCCTACAGGAAGAGACGTCCTATATCTTCGTCAGTGTTACACAGGTAAGAACTCTCGATCTGAAGGTGAATATTTGTTGGGCATAGGTGTCCATCTAAATGAGTAAGCATAATAGAAATCCATTGTTGAAAGTTTGATGGAACAACCCCAGACTGCTGTTCATTAAAGGAGAACTGTAGTTTCTCTGGAGATTGCACAGGTGTTCGTAGAAACACTCCACCTTTTTGTGAATGGAAGGCTCATGGAAATAAGTGGTTCACATCTTGCTTGCCTCTCTGCAAAACATCTTACCTTTAGAGAATGCTTCTCTGTACTTAAAAACAAACCATTGAACTTTTCAAAAACATCCGTTCTACATCTGGAGGAAGGCCGCCAGCTCTTACAAAAATTCACAATCGCTTTTCATTAAAAAAAGAAAGTGGAAATGTTTGAATACAGCCACTGTTTTTTTTCCTGCCCGCAGGAAGCAGAGCGGGAAGAGTTCTATGATGAGACCCGAAGGCTGTGTGATCTCCGACTCTTCCAGCCCTTCCTCAAGGTCATCGAACCAGTTGGCAACAGGGAGGAAAAGATCCTCAACAGAGAGATTGGTGAGAATTTTTTCTCTTCTGATAGCACCAGTTGTGTTGTAGCTGTAGTTACTTTTGTTTTTTATTTCTTTTGTTAGTCAAATAACAGTGAATTAAGATATATTGAAGAAAAAATGGTGATAGCTGCACTGGGTGAAGACACTAAGTATAGGTAACTGAAAAAACCAGGTGCTCTTCAAGGATAGGGCAAATGGTCACAAAAGAATAGAAAGAAATGTCCTTGCTCACTCCATGGTGAGTGCTGGCAGTCTAAAAAGGCACTCAAGGTACTGTTAAAAATCATTTATTCACACATGGATAGACCAACACGTTTTGACTGTTTTTTTTTACTATTATGAATTAAAATATAATTTGGAACATGACTAAATGATTGGGAAAGGGAAATTGCGCAAAAAAAAATCAGTAACTTTCTAGCTGTTTAGCTGATGTACTTAAATAAAACACTATTTTAACATTTCTCTAAACAGACCGATCTAGCCAGAACTGCCTCTAGACTGAAAAAACACTGACTCTTTTTATTCTGCCAGGTTTTGCCATTGGTATGCCTGTGTGTGAATTTGACCTTGTGAAGGACCCAGAGGTTCAGGACTTCAGGAGAAACATCCTGAATGTTTGTAAAGACTCTGTGGAGCTGAGAGATGCCAACGGGCCCCACAGTAGAGCACTGTATGTTTACCCACCCAATGTGGAATCCACACAGGAACTTCCAAAACACATCTATAACAAACTGGACAAAGGTAGGCAACAGCTTTGGTGGTTTTCTTTTTTCAGAGCACAGTCTAACTAGTTTCATAGGAAATGAGGAAAGGATAAAAATAAGAAACAGAAAATTATTGTAATTATTTTTTGAAATAATGACACAAAAATAAATCACTTGGAGACAACAGGGGGACAACAGGGACCAAGAGGCGAGCATTTTAAGGTCCTATCAATGCTTGATTGCTACTAGCCAGCCTTAACAATGGAAAGGAACAACAGTAATGAGCAGGGTATTCAATGAATTGATTGAGGTGCTACTACTGTGAGGCTTGATACAATACCCTCAGACCTCAGAATAATTAAAGGTGGATAGTTATTGTTTCTGGGTTGCTGCTTGAGTAAAATTTGATTTATTGATTTTTTTTCTCAGCTTGTTTTTTTTTCTGTCTCTTTTTGTAGGTCAAATTATTGTTGTGATTTGGGTGATTGTTTCTCCAAACAACGACAAACAAAAGTACACATTGAAGATCAACCACGACTGTGTGCCTGAACAGGTGAGATGAATATATACTAAAATAAAAAAAAGACAACAAATCAATTATGAGCCAGCTTAATTTATAAATTCATCATAGGGAAATTGAAGGGTTTCACTCTCAGCCAGTAATACTCAGTATACGGTCCACGGGCCCTCAGTCGATAGGGTGCTGGGTGGCCTGCCGACCATTTCTAATGCACAATGAAAGTAAAGTGACTGAAACTGGGAATTCTTTTGTTCTTTACTCCGAATGTAAATAAGTCGCCATTGTGCACACAAAACAGTATCAGGAGAGGATCACCCAGACTCCCTGACAAACATCCAGGCTAAATCCCGAATGTCCACAAATCCTAGAAATGTCCCTTCATACACCTGACCTGAGACTGGCCCCTGGCCCTCTGTCATTTTGCAAAAGTGGCCCCTGGGCATCGCAAGTTGAGTATCTCAGCTCTAGGCCTTACCAAAGTCTAATGTAGGCTGTCTGTGTGTATCTTTTTCTAAAGGTGATTGCTGAGGCCATTCGTAAGAAGACACGCAGCATGCTGTTGTCCCCAGAGCAGCTAAAGATGTGTGTTCAGGAATATCAGGGTAAATACATCCTCAAAGTTTGTGGCTGTGATGAGTACCTGCTGGAAAAGTACCCCATCAGCCAATATAAGGTGAGAGACATATGGGCAGAAATCTATAAAAAACAACAACAACAAAACTTTAAAGGGTTAGTGCACCCAAAAATGATAATTCAGCTGTTATCTACTCACCCTCATGCTGAGGAAGGCTCTGGTGAAGTTTTAGTGTCCTCACATCCCTTGCGGAGATCGGCGGGGGGAGCGGCTATCACACCTAATGGCTGACGGCACCCCAGACTAACGTCCAAGAACACAAAATTGAAACCACAAAGTATCTCCAACATGCTCATCCGTAGTGATCCAAGTGTCCTGAAGCCCCGACATAAAAAGTTGTTTTGAAAAACGTCATTTGAACTCTGTTTTTAGCCTCACTGTAGCCTGTAGCTCTGACTGCTTCTCACGTGCGCGTGCTTGCGCGAGACCAGCGAAAGCATGAGCTTTGCTTACCCGTGTTTACATCACGTGACACGTGCACCGCATGGAGAGACAACAGTAACCACAGTAGCTAAAAGATAATTTGCACTACGGTCTTTTAGCAAAGGACAGCCCAACATGTCTGAAGACTTTGAAAATGAGGAGGAACAACATTTCTTTGTTGAGCCGTATTTATTTGAGCCCGAGTATACGGACGCGGAACTCAGGCTACTGGACGAGGCAGCAGCTGCAGCTCATGAGCCTAACCCTCAGCCAGCCGCAGAATACCGGAGTCGAGCACTGGAAACCTGGTGGTGTAGTTGTTTCAAATGCAAAGCAATGCCAATGGTTGAGGAAAGTCTTTGCTGCTCAGACTGGGAATTGGTGATGCCTGCACTTGAGAATCTGGACATCAGTACTGATGAGAGTGTTGCTCTTCAGATACCTTGCATCACCGATCACCCTGAGCATGCACACGTGAGCGCGGAGCACAGAGAAGCATTCAGAGCTACAGGCTACAGTGAGGCTAAAAACAAATGACGAGTTCAAATGACGGTTTTCAAAACAACTTTTTATGTCGGGGCTTCAGGACACTTGGATCACTACAGATGAGCATGTTGGAGATAATTTGTGGTTTCAATTTTGTGTTCTTGGACATTAGTCTGGGGCACCGTCTGCCATTAGGTGTGCTAGCCACTCCCCCCGCCGATCTCCGCAAGGGATGTGAGGACTCTAAAACTTCACCAGGGCCTCCGTTGGCATATGGGTGAGTAGATAATGGCTGAATTTTCATTTTTGGGTGCACTATCCCTTTAAACTTGCAGGATTTAGAGCTTAAATGACAAGTGTCAACATTGCTAGTTTACATGAATGAAGAGTTGAAAAGTTAATTGGCTAAAATGGCTAAAAATTAGCAGGCATAGTTGGGGGTAGTCTGCACAGAAACCCAACATACTATGTTGTAAGAAGGATGAAGCTGATCCAGAACTTTTTGATAATCCCTATCAAGATATAGCCTAAGCCTGATGCATTTCAGATCATATATTTATTGTATTTATTTGGGACAGCATTGCTCTTCATTAAAACACTGGAATCAATTCCCCGTGCACAGTGATGTGAGCCCACGCTCACAGTCCATGTGAGCCAGATCAAAGTAGAAGATGCACCAAGTGTCACTGTTTCCTCTACAGTCACACTGCAGCTGCTGGAAAATGACCAATTGCGATCACTGGTTACACTTATGCACGCTGTAACTCTAGCAGCTCTGTGTACTTTTGTTCTAACCATCCTCCTCTGCGTCATTCCCTCCCTCTGTGTTTCTCCCTCTAGTATATCCGTAGTTGCATCATGCTGGGCAGGATGCCTAACCTGATGCTAATGGCCAAGGACAGCCTATACACTCAGTTGCCTACAGATAACTTTGTCATGCCATCGTACTCTCGACGCATCTCCACGGCAACATCCTATATGAATGGTGAGGCAGCTGCCAAGTCGCTGTGGACCATCAACGGAACGCTGCGAATCCGGATCCTATGTGCCACCTATGTTAACGTCAATATACGGGACATAGACAAGGTGGGGTGCTCAGTGCTTACAGGAATATAACCATGTCTGTGTTGATCAGTCAAATTTAACATGCTATGCTCTATTCTTACATGGATGTTAAGAGAAGACTAGAATTTGCCAAAGTGAGAGGAATCATTTTTTGTAATAAAATTGTTGTGAACCGTATTTATTGTATTTTTTCAGATTATTGAAGATGTTTTTGAGGAATATTAGTTGTTATTTCAGTTGTGCAAAGTTTCCCATCTCTAGCTCCCTCACTTCCTGTGGAAACAAACAAGTCATTGTCCAGGTCTCATGTGAACAGACCTTTAACCAGGGAAAGCAGTTCTGGTCGTTTATGTTAGCATGCTGTCATGAATCATTTGTGTAAATGTAATGTCCTCACAAAACTGCCAGACTCCATGCCACTTAAGTATAAAGATCATTTAACATGACAGCTGTTACATTGTATTAATGGTGTTCTTGTGAGATAAGTTGTCCAGCAGGAAAATGTTAAAGGGAAGTTATATCACATCTTATACTGTTTTTTCTTGTTGCGTTTTGCTTCTCTTGTTTATTTATAGATATATGTGAGGACAGGTATTTACCATGGAGGTGAACAGATGTGTGACAATGTCAACACTCAGAGAGTACCCTGCTCTAACCCCAGGTAATTGTCCACCCTTTATTACAATACCTTTTTTTCTCACTACAGCGGTCCTTCAATGCATGATCTTTTCATTACAGCAATAAATTATTTAGTGAAAAGCTTTTACAAAGTGTTTTAACAATGTGAGACAGTAATTATACCGTAAAAATTAAAACCAGAAAAATGACATTAAATACAATGTGATAAATTAAATTATGATAATGGAAATAACTACTACTTTAATTCACTTTCTCTTGATTTCAGTGAAATAGTGCTTTAGACTGTTTACGCTGCTAATTTACTTTAAGTAGTCTAAGGCAGGAGGGTAACATTAACAGTTTAGTGCTGGCTAGTAACACTAAACTGCTGTATTACATTACTGTTAAACCCAAGTCTGGTCCACTCTTTTACCTCTGGAGAGGTAAAAGAACCTGCTGAAGGTATAGGTTTAACTCAGCCCTGTGTAATAGCAGTGTAAGGTGTCTGAGCGTTCCGTTTTCTATCATTGAAAGCACTTAATTGCACCTCAGAGACCTAAGTGGCGCAGCTTTTTTTGGGTCCTCCTCTTGGTGGTGGTTGTAGGCAATGGCAATTTTATTTATGTGGCACATTTCATCACACATAAACTCAAAGTGCTTTACACGGAAAGACAACATACGGAAGAAAATACAAGAGTGTGCGTCATTAACGTAATAATACAGAGAGCACAAAAACATCAAAAACAATCAAATAGAAACCCCTAGCTACCCAAAAAACATATAGGTGTGATCACATGAGCACACGCGCACGCACACACACTCACTCATTCACTCACACACACACACACACACACACACACATACACACACACAAACACTATAAACCTGATATAAGAATAAGAAAGGTTTAACTTTGCTTTTAAATGTGGACACAGTCTTGCTGGACCTCAAGTCAGCAGGCAGCTTGTTCCCAATAGCAGGACCACAGTACAGTAGGGCACCCTCAGGAACTGGATCCAGTTCTGGGTACAGCTAGAAGACCTTTGTCTGATGACCTCAGAGGCCTGATCAGGTTATAGACCTGCATTTGAGATTGTCTCTGGTTGTGTTGGTTGGCCCCAGTCTCATAAATTATCTCTGTGTCGCTTTCATTCTTTATCTACAGGTGGAATGAGTGGCTCACGTATGATATGTACATCCCAGACATACCCCGTGCTGCCAGACTCTGCCTGTCCATCTGCTCTGTCAAGGGCAGGAAGGGAGCCAAGGAGGTAGGATAGAAAGCAGTGAATGAAATGACTCCACAGTGCAACTTCAGTAGACAGGAAGTGGACGTGCAAAAATTAGGAAGTGTCTTACTAAGCCATTCAACCAGGCCCCCAGGAAACAGCTCAGCCTTGCTTCTAATTGTTCCCAGCGGCCACTCACAGTTTTGCAGCGAAAAAATCCCATGCTGCCCTAAAAGCATTTTCTCCATAGACCGCCATTGTGAAAGACACGTCTGTAAAACTGTTGACACCTCGAACTGCAAACACGGTCAATTATGAGTCTATCTACTATGAAATTTTGATTAATGGAGGTTGTTTATTTGTAAAACTTCCCTCAAGCTGAGAAAAGTGATTCAAAAGTGTGTGTTGTTATCATAATGTAAAGCCAATACTGTGCATATTTAGTGGGCTGCTACTGCGAAAATAAAACCAGAACCTAGAAACTTTTTTTTTTGGTTGTTTTTTTTTTTTTTTAAGATATTTTTATGGGCATTTTTGCCTTTAATTGATAGGATAGTGAAGTGTGAAAGGGGGAGAGAGAGAGAGGGAGAGACATGCAGCAAAGGGCCACAGGCTGGAGTCGAACCCGGGCCGCTGCGGCAACAGCCTTGTACATGGGGGGCCTGCTCTACCACTAAGCCACCGATGCCCCTGAACCTAGAAACTTTTTTGGCATATGCACCTGGCAAGCATTTCCATGGGACTGAATAGATGCCATCCTGGCACCCACTATCTAGGTATTATTATAGATCTATGCATTCAACCCATCTAGTTATGAATAACTATGGAACAGTGAAATAGTTTTATTGAGGGGAAAATGCAACAGTACAACAGCTGAATTAAAATACTTATTTGTGAAAAGTGAAAATTTTGTAATTTAAAAACCTGATCATACAAATACCAATAGCAGTGTATGCTACATTACAGATAGACAGGCTGTGTGGCAGATATTACAGCCTACAGATAGCAGCGAGCAGATGACCTCCACGTGTCTAAATCTTTAACACTGGCGTGCTAAGTCATCCAAGAGGACCTTACATGCCTCTTGTGTGTATGTTTGTCTGTGTGAGTAGCATGTGATAGTATTGGCATAGGAACCTACACCCTAATCTATGTGTCAGTCTGCCTGAGCATAGAGTGAATGGGAGCTGTGGTATCGTCTTTGGTTCTGTTTAATTACTAATCAGCCAAGAGCTCTGTGGTGGTAGAAAACATCGACAGAGACACAATCAAGCTGAAGGGACTTTTCCATTCGAGTTAGAATATGCTTCGCTTGAGCAAGCCAAATTGATGGCATGAGTAAAATGGGCTAATTGTTCTCTCGCAAACTTGTATCAAAGTATTTGAACTAAAGACGTTGACAACAAAAAAACTGAATACTGAATATAAAAAAGAAAATGCAATATTAGGACTGAGAAGTTCGCAGAACAATATATTGTATTAACTGAGGAAGGATTATGATTTTTTTCATTTATGTAGCTTAATATTAACATATTCTGGAGACTTACATCAGATTTACAATAAAAAGTGACATTTTACTCTAGTGTTTAGAAACCATGTGGTCCAAAGCTGCTTGGAGTGCATCTGTGTTTTTATGCGTCGGCTCTGATACTTGTAACACTCACCCACACTGATTGATTTTTTTGCCATCTCTCTCTGGTGGAAAAGCTGGAGGAAAGAGAAGTGTGTGTGTGTGTGTGTGTGTGTGCGCTTTTGTGCATGCGTGCACAAGTGTATCAATGAATGCTAGACATAGATATTGTAACAGACACCTGGGGTGAGCTGTATCCCGTGCTGCGCCTGGCTAGGCTGAGGTCAGGTTAGCGGATGCTCTTTCAAGCCCCACCTGAATGAAAGATAAACACTTCTCTACAGCAGCCTTTTGTTCCAGCACTTACTATAAATAGGTGCGTTTTGACTGGCTGTCTGCATGTAACTCTGTCTGCCTCTCCATGCAGCCCTTTGTCACCTGGTTCCATTGCTGCCCCTTAGTGAAGACTCACACTGAAGATCAAGATGTTATCTTAAACATTCCCTCTGTTTGTGTGAAGGCTTACATGGTAGCTTTGGTAAAAGGAGTACTGTAGTTTGAAGGTTGTCCGATAACCTTTATACCTAAAGGTGACTCGGTGGTACATGTTGTCAGGAGCTTATGATTTCACTGTCCCTTGCACCATGATCAGTTATCTCATAATCAAGCACTAGACAGTCCAATTCAGAGTTTAACTAAACTTTCTGCCTGTAGAGCAAATAACAGGTGGCCACATTTACTGGCTTACCAACTTCATCTTTCAAGATGAATAAGTGTAGGCATCACATTCTAGCTATTACTGTTACTGAGCTGCTTCAAAAACCTGTTTTTAAAACCAATCCAAAACCAACATATTGAAGGCAACACATCTCCTCCATCTGTCCTACTGAAAATAAAACTTCAACTATGGAAGTCCATTAATTCATAGGGAAAGACATGGAATGAGTTTGGCTGGACTCAGTAGAAGGCCCTTCTGCTCATCGTATGACATATATATATAGACATGACCTCAATCATTTTGTTGACCTTGATTTGCCGGTTTTGGTTACATTTGTGTTTGTTTACATCAGAATGTCACCAACATTTTAGCCAAACATGATGCCAAAATAAACATTATCCATTATAAAACTAGGCTGCGGCAGTTTTCACTTTTTTTTCTCTCCACCCCTCTCTACTTGTACAAGTCCTAAGAAAAATAAAACAACACTTCAAAGACGACACAACATAGCTTACCAGTGGCCTGTAGCTGCACTTCTGTAGTGGAAGAGGAACAGTCCTGATAGTCATCAGCTGGCCAGCCCCAGGCAATGGGCAAACAGTCCATTGTTTGTAGTTTTGCCCTCCAACACTTTTGTCCCCGTAAAATTTACCAGCAAACCGCCTGACTCTGATGCCGTCTCTCCCCATGTGCTGACTCTCGGAGGTGTATTAGGTCTTTAACAGAGTAATTTTGAGCTATGCCAATAAAGGCACCATAATTTAATATATGCGTATTGCATATATTAACAAATAGTAATTACTTCATAAAAAAAAAATATGTTTGATATTTTTTTATATTCTAGTTCCAAAGTCTGAATATTTTTAAGAATTAAACGTTAATTGCTCTTAAAAAAGGCTATACTTGCATTGTTATGATATTATATTACTATTATATCAGTGGCATAAAATGGTCTTGAACTGACAATATATCATTCATCACAATTAATTCTGGGACATATATCGTCCAACAAAACTAGCTACTGTGACAGGCCTACTGAGCAGGCTAAAAACTGAGCTATATGTGTTAACTTGTGGATATGTATTGTGTGTGCCTTCACTACATTTTTGTTTTTAATTATATCCAGTGACTATTGTGTGAGTGTATCATGATGTATTTGATACAGACCTTTTTCTGAGTCAGTGCTTTTAATGTGTTTTTAGCATAAGGAAACCGTAATGAGATTATTTACTTCCACACTGAATATGTTGGTGTTAAAAGCCTCTTTGAATCAGAATTATTCACCATCTGTGTTTGCATCTGTTTCTTCGCATAAGCTTCTCACATGAAGCTGACATTTGCAATCAGTGGCTCTCCCTCTCACTTTCTTTACTTCTATCTCTCCCTTTAGGAGCACTGTCCACTGGCGTGGGGTAATATCAACTTGTTTGACTATACTCACACTCTGGTGGCCAACAAGATGGCTCTGAACCTCTGGCCTGTCCCTCATGGCCTTGAAGACCTCCTCAACCCCATAGGAGTCACTGGATCCAACCCTAATAAGGTATTTGAATTCAGCATCTTACCTTCCTAAGTAAAAAAAGTACCATTTTTTACATGTTCATTTGGGGACTGTGCCAGAAACGCAGCATAACAAAGTGACAGATTTACATATTTCATTGAGTGTTTGGCTGTATTGTGAGAAACTGTGATTTACACATTGTAATATTATTTTAATCTCTGTTGTCCAGGAAACCCCATGTCTGGAGCTGGAGTTTGACCACTTCAGTAGTTCAGTCAAATACCCAGAAATGAATGCAGTCGAGGATCATGCAAACTGGACCATCTCAAGGGAACTGGGCTTTAACTACAACCTCTCTGGACAGGTAATAATCTGCTCATCAGCCACCAAATAGTGGGCTGCAAAGGTGCAAAAACACAGCGGGTTGCTTAATGTTTTATAACACAAACACATGTAAATGAATGTCCTTTAAGCTCATCTCAGAGATCTCTGGGGAGCAAGCAGGTGTGAGGGGTATGTGCACTTTTGGAAAAACACTATTATACAGGTGACAGGCACGACTGTGAAGTAATGAAAAAGATATTAGCCCGATAATGAAGTCTAATGAACTCTTCATGTGGCTCAGTGGCGCCATTGTAAGCTATTGTGATCAGTTATTCATGATGGTGTTGGTGATGCCGTGTTATCAGATTTCTAAATGATATGTGGCATCAGAACCATGACTCACTTGTGGCTGGAGTTACTCTGCCATGTGAGAGGATGTGAATGGTGTGAGACGATGTGTTAAGTTATCCATGAGGTGTTTGTCAAAGGTGAGGGGGGTGCCTAACTCAATACATGGTGTGATGATGATATCATCCTACTTGAGTCTGACCAGGAAGCTGATGTTTTCTCAAGCACAAACAATATTTCATGTAGCATCCCATGTATACATTCAGAAATCTGACCTGGTTTTGTGAAGGAGAATGATTGGGATGATTGAACTTTTATACAGATTTTGTGCTCTTGGCAAAGTGATGGCCTAAAGAAAGAAGCTCCAGTTCAGGATTTGAGGGTATTATCAGGGTTTTTAACAGACTGAGCCTTAAGCTGAATGTTCAAGGCATCATGCTGCATCGTGCTCCCATTGCGCTCTGTCTCCGTCACAGTTTCATTGACTACTGTAAACGTTTCAGAAGTGAAGTATCTTTTATTCTGCAGCCACATTTATAGCATCTTAGCATGTTTTGCTGAGATTTCTCATGTTTTACAAGCATAAAATACACATTTGCAGCTCATTTAGATGTAGAAATGGATTATTTTAGGCTGTATTGGATACGTGAACCTTTTGTTCTCCTACACCTTCTCTGTCATCACTCATTTAAAATGTCAATATAGCTGATCTCACAGTACAGCTCGTCATTAACTGGAATTTTTGTTTATCTTGTCTGGTGATGTTGTAATTGTAAAATAATGATTTTACCTGCAGCTCAGCAGCTTGATAATGACTGTTTGTCATAATCGTATTTATGGGCCATAATCAAATTTGTACTAGTTTCATTGACTGGCAGCAGAAACAGAAACATTTTGCTTTCTCCTTTCATTCTATCAGTATCTTAGCCTGGTTCCAGACCATAGACCCCGCCCACTCAACTGAGTAGGCTTGCATCTCTGGTCTGGCATACTTCAATGAATTTGCGATTTATCTCGTCCAAACGCTGGACGGACCAATGAACGCCGGGGGTCTAGCGATTAGCCAATCAGCGCCACACTGATGTCAAGCTGTACGCCGGTGGGTAACTGGTAAGGATAGCAACAATGGCGACCGCTACAGATCCTACAGACCACATTAACGATGCTATCGAGGTATTTCGCCACTACTCGCGTTAATGGAGGACCAAATTAAGGAAGCTGCTAAACTGGATTTAACGGCAATGCAGCTGGGCATGCACGACGACGGAGACATTTTAAACGGGCAATGCTCGCTTGTTTTCGGCACCCCCGAGGCATGGATACTAATGACGTCAGATTCTGGGAGAGTCGTTGATCTCTGCTGATTGGTTAGGGAAAAAATCAAATTCCCTCCCCCTTGTAAATCGCCTTTAATGGAAGCCATGTCAGACTGAAGGTTCTGGGAGCTTCAGTCTGACACTCAGGCTATCAGTATCTACAAGCACAAACAATTAGTTTTGTTGTGTAGTGTATTGTTCCAAACACTATACAGACTCTTTTTGAAAGTAGAGATAGACACTATGAGCTCAGAGGAACTGAGATGTTTAGAAAACCAATAGTCAGAACAAACACTAAAATAAACTGTATTTCCGTTAAAGGAGTACATCTGTGGAATAGTTCCACTGATGAATTAAAACTTAGCACTTCTTTATTACAGTTAAAGACATTATATAAAAAGTCAGCAATTCAAAGATACATGACAGAGATCTGATTTGGCTTCATTTTTTTGTTTTGTGGTTTTAAATTGTTCTTATTTCTCAGTTATCAGCCTTTTGTTGGCTGCATTGTGAGCCGTTTTTTTTTTTTTTTGTTTTTTTTTTGTTTTTTGAGTATGTGTGCGTGTGTGTAAAGAGGGTGGGCTAAATAATCTTCAGCTTCAGCCTACACCTTTTCGGTCAATATGTTCATATTAGTTTGAACGAATTATGTATATTTTGAGATGTAAGACCGAAATAAATTCATTCATTCATTATATGGAAAGATAAAGTCACAGACAAAAGATGCATTATTAAAATTAATTGATTTCAAGTCAATTGGCAGAAAAATACAGCCATATAAATACATTCACATATAAATTTCACGTATCCGAGATGTGAGCTGCTCCGGCAAAAACAGACCTTATGATAATTTGAACACAGCTTCTCAGTTTGCCAATTACTAATGTGACTCCAGGGTTTGCCAATATAGACAACACTGGTTATCTCAGGTCAGTTTACCTTTTTCAGTGATTTGAACTATGGTTAAACATTTAAACTTGTGGTGGACGCGTTTGAATAATTTAAATTATAGTACAACAGTGGGAATCTTGTAAATGACTACAGCCAGTAGACATAGTTCTAAGGTGGCCTGTTGTTACAGGTGCATCAGATACTGTGTGATGCAAGAGAGCTGGACTGTTCAGTGTTGATTTATTTATGATGATAGTGTAATGTGGTGTATTAAATAATTTCTTTATCTGTGCCTTGAGTTGTTTGAGAAGCTTCCCTAACAGTAATGGGTCTTAATGGATAACGGTTGTTAATGTTCCAGGCTATATTTGTCTCTCGTAATGGCTGCTTGTCACAATGTCCAGAAAGGAAAATATAAAGATCCTGTGGTGCAAGACAAAAAAAGCTCTGACAATTAGTGACATAATAACGCTGCTGGTTAATGTACTTAGTTACGATAAAAAAAGGGTAATAATAAAATACTGTGTTTTACTGCGTTTCTCTGTTTTATTACAGCGTAAATATGGGGAGGGATCAGGGGTTTGCAAGACATGATGGCCAACAGGCTGTTAATGGAAGTGTTAATAATGTTATAAGGCGAGTATTTTCTTTCTGTTGTGTTTCAGAGCAACCGGTCGGCCAGAGATCACGCCCTGACAGAGAGCGACACTGAGCAGATAAGACAGCTGAGTAACAGAGACCCTCTTTCAGAAATCACTGAGCAGGAGAAAGACTTCCTCTGGAGACACAGGTAACTTTCCCACCAGGAAATATATATTACTTTGCCATAAAGCACCACTTTATGAAAAGTCACAGATTTCTTGTATGCAGCTGTATGTAAAACCAGATCCAATACAAGCGTATCCCTTTAGGTTAATGGCTAGAACATTTTTTGTTTTTTGTTACTCTTAAACATTTTGTTTAAAAAAAAAAACTAAACAAAATACATTTCTGGGATTAACTGTAACCACGTATGTCGTGCTGGATAATCTACATGTGAAAGAAATGTGGTAATACAGTTGTTTTTTTAATCTTGTGTAGGATATAGATATTTAAAAACGACTGATAAAGACATGAACTGTGCAACAATAAGAAGTAATCCTGTTTTTCTTTCTCTACCAGGCACTACTGCATGAATATCCCTGAGATCCTTCCTAAGATCCTTCTCGCTGTCAAATGGAACTCCAGAGATGAAGTAGCACAGGTAATGCTGTGCCATTTCATACCTGCATGTTACGTACATACTTGATCTGTCTGATTTTGGTTTTCTGCTTTGTAAGTAACAAAAAAAAGCTGGGAACTGACTGCTTTTTTTGTTTTTAAATTTGAATATATACTTCTCTAAAAATACTAACACTAATGCAGATACACTGTGTTTTGAAGTAATTTTGGCAACTTAGCTGTTTCTTGCAAGATCACTGACTTTAAAAAAGATGAACGGAATATAATTAAGTTTATTTAGTTTAAGTATTTATTCATATTTCTTGGTTTGTTTGTTTCCCAGATGTACTGTCTGTTAAAGGAATGGCCATCTATCCGTCCTGAGCAGGCCATGGAGCTGCTGGACTGTAACTATCCCGACCCCATGGTCAGGCAATTTGCTGTGCGCTGTCTTGAAAAATACCTGACTGATGACAAACTGTCTCAGTACCTCATCCAGCTTGTACAGGTAGGCCTAATTGAGATTTGGTGCTAGTGAAATCAAGGAACTGATTCATGAAATAATGGAGTAAAAAGGAAGACATTGAAGAACTACGAGTACTATGACTCAGGTGGACTATGAAGTACCTTTCTCCTGAGTGTCTTTGGCAGCCAGCGTTATATCAGTTGGAAAGCAGCTGTTCTTTTGTGTTGAAGATTTTCTGCTCTGCCTTAGGTTGTATTTGGTGCGTGGTTTAAAGAGACTTCATGTTGAGAGACATTATTGAGTTAGAAATGACTAATCTGAACCTCCTCTCTGCATCTCCTCTGGCTCTTTCCCTCTGATCCCTCTCTCTCTCTCCCCCCTGTTCTAGGTATTAAAATATGAGCAGTATCTTGACAATCCGCTGGCCCGTTTCCTCCTCAAAAAGGCCCTGACCAATCAAAGGATAGGTCATTTCTTCTTCTGGCATCTCAAGTGAGTCACCATTCAGATTGCTTTTTCTTCATGTTTATGTACCTTCCTTCCTCTGTGTCTTTCTAGAAAGCTAAAAATTCATCTTGCCTCCCTACTTCCCACTGTTTGTCCCCCCTTCATCAGGTCAGAAATGCACAATAAAACAGTGAGCCAGAGGTTTGGGCTGCTGCTAGAGGCTTACTGCAGGGCATGTGGCATGTACCTCAAACACCTGAGCAGGCAGGTAGAAGCCATGGAGAAGCTCATTAACCTCACTGACATCCTTAAACAGGAGAAAAAGGATGAGACACAAAAGGTAAGGATGGCAACAGCACACACACATACACACAGGAATATAGCCATTGTTATTTTAAAGCTATACTGTGGCCTTTGCCAAACAAGTTCGAATGAACTGATTAAGCCTATCGCTGCCAGGGAAAGCTCTCTGTGTTTCACAGTATACAGGAGTTATAGTGTCTGGTGTCTGTGGAGACTTAGCTGCGCTTGCGCATTGGAAGTGATGCATTTTCCTTTAACCAGCCAGAGGTAAAGGGACAGGAAAAGGGGAGAGACCTTAGCAGTGGAGCAGCAGCTAGGAGTATGGTAGAAACAGTTTCTAGTGTGGATGGAGACTAAGTGCAGACACGTAAGCTGTGGTTGGTATTTGTAAAATACTTCTGCAGTGCTGTCTAAAAATGTACCTGAAATTTTGAAGAGAATGCTCCTGGTAGTGGGGGAGATGTGATGAGCTCACCTGCAGGCATGCATCATAAGCATGTGTCGACAGTGTTTGTATAATTACTCTCACTGCCAGAGAGGGGAGACAAAAGCTCCACACTTCAGCTTTATAATAGCATCTTAAACAGCCAGATTTTAGGAGGGATCTGTGTTGCATTAGAATGCCTTACCAGTTATTTATTATTCATTCAACTATTTGCAGCTTAGATTCATAATTTGCCCTCAGAGTCTTAACACTACATAAAAGGCAGTCATTTTTAGAAGATTTCTCTTTGTGGATGCGTGTGTGTAAATGGATGTGTGCGCACACATTTATGTGCAAATACACGTGTGTGTTGTTGTGTTTGTGTGTGTGTGTGTCCTGTGGAGGTCCAGATGCGGTTTCTTGTGGACCAGATGAAGAGACCGGACTACATGGATGCTCTGCAGAACTACACTTCTCCTCTCAACCCTGCACACCAACTGGGAAACTTGAGGTTAGAAGCAATAGCGAATGAGCTGTGTGCATGTGTTTGTAGTGCGGTGTGTGTATGGATAAGTTGGGTTGTGAGAAAAATAATGACATTGTTTAATATCATGAATTGATTTGTGCACAGGTTAGATGAATGCAGGATCATGTCATCAGCAAAGAGGCCATTGTGGCTGAACTGGGAGAATCCTGACATCATGTCCGAGCTGCTCTTTCAGAACAATGAGATCATCTTCAAAAATGGAGATGGTAACACACACACACACACAGACAAACATAAATGCCATAGAATTTTACATAAATGTGTCTATGCCAAATAAATTCGCACACTTCCACTTGATGATAAGTCTAAATACTGAGGATTATAGGAAGCCTCTGTTTTTAGCATGTGATATATTTGGCGGTTATGACTCTCAAAACATGACCATGTTTCCTAATAACACTATTGTAAAGACATATTAGAAGGTTTTTTTTTCCTCTCACTCTTACCACCATATGCACTTGAAAGAAACTCTGAAAACTTTAGCTCAGTTCACTCCCCCGATTTGTGCTATAAAGCGATGCAACATATTTCAACATCAGAATCCTAAATGTTGACACAAACTGTGAAGTGCTGTTGAGAGACTGCAGAGCTTCTCCGTAATGGTTGTCTACTATAATCATACTAACTCATCCTCATGTTGTGCATGAGTATAAGCTGTCAGTCTCCCAGGATGTTATTAACTGCAGCTGTCTTCATTGTGTGTGTTTGTGTTTTAGACCTGCGGCAGGATATGCTGACGTTGCAGATTATTAAAATCATGGAGAATATTTGGCAGAATCAGGGACTTGACCTCAGGTACTATCTGTCTCCTGTTATCTCAGTCATTATTTCTCTTTCTGTCAGAATCTTTTTGCTTCAGTTTCTGTATTCTCTCTGTCCTGCTGCAGTGCATGAGGATAAAGAAAAAAATCTGCTCTGTGTGTCTCCAGGATGCTTCCGTATGGCTGTCTGTCATTAGGAGACTGTGTGGGTCTCATCGAGGTGGTTCGCAGCTCCCACACCATCATGCAGATTCAGTGTAAAGGAGGCTTGAAAGGAGCCCTGCAGTTCAACTCAAACACTCTGCATCAGTGGCTCAAGGACAAGAACAAGGGCGAGATGTGAGTTCTTCTCTGCTGATATTATTTCCTGCAGCATCTTTGCATCATTAGACAGTATAGAACATTACAGTACAGTATCTGTGGGACCCTAAAAGAAATGAGAGTTACAGCCCATTTACTTTAAAACACTTTCTCATCGCTCATTTATTTCTAAAATACAACACTAATGTTGTCAGTGCTTACTGGTTTTTGTGGGTGTGTATTTGTTTGTTCTTGCAGGTACGACATGGCTGTTGATCTTTTTACGAGGTCCTGTGCTGGCTACTGTGTAGCTACATTTATTCTTGGGATAGGAGACAGACACAACAGCAACATTATGGTCAAAGATGATGGACAGGTAACTTCTTTATGCACACATACACAGCACACAACTTTTGTCAAGGTGGACAGGTAACAATGTTCACACTTCATTTAAGTTAATTTACTAGGGATTTGTTATTGTCCAGTACATATTTGATAAAAGTAAATAGTTTAAGCCAGTACTCTGCAGACTGAATGTTTATACCCCTCTCTGTAAAACAACTCAATTTGCCATTGATGCCTTAGGTTTTCCTGTGGGTATACAGTAGGTTTACTGGATTGAGGAAGTTGCTGAACTTTCACTTCCTGCCATCCTCTTTGTTCTGCTCTTGTCCAGTTGTTTCATATAGATTTCGGCCATTTCCTGGATCATAAGAAGAAGAAATTTGGCTACAAGAGAGAGCGAGTTCCTTTTGTACTGACACAAGACTTCCTCATCGTCATCAGCAAGGGATCCCAGGAGTGCGCAAAGACCAAAGAGTTTGAGAGGTGCTGCAGCGTCTTATCTCTTATTTTCTCTCACCTTCTTTGCTGCTAACTGCAGCTAGTACAGTCTGTTGCTTTGTTGGCTGGTCAATGCCTAAAGCTCGGCTCTTTTTGTCCTATCATCAGCTTCTGCCTCAACAAAGATTTGCTATAGTGTTTTACTTTAACCGAGTTTAGTTATAGGTGAAGGTATAGGGTTGGTAGGTACCATTTGGCTACATTCAAATTGTAGGCAAAAGTGGCCCAAATAGGATTTTTTTTGGTTATAATTCTGTGCTGGCAGAAGGCACTTGGTGAATACAGACATGGAAGACAGCTGTGATGGAGGTAGTCAGCAGAGGAACAGTGAGGTGTTAGGCATTATAAGTATGTGGGGTCTGTTTCATTAAAGTTATTCATGTCACGATCCCACCACTCCTGTCTCTGACTCTGTATCTACACACACCTCTGTGCAGAAGTCGCAGCCATTGCTCCACAAAGAGTCATAATTAAACATTTGTCTCTGTTTCTCTTCATCCTCATTATCTGTTGCTCAGAAATTTACTGGCTCCCACTGCACATCAAATTATAAATGAAACCATAAATGCTGACTTCAGTGACCCCCATGATTACTTCTGTACCACAGCATGCTGTGTGGGATGCCTTTGTTATTGCAGGCCATGACTAGTTCTAGTTGGAATCTGATACTGGCCACGTTTAAAAAATGATGTGAGAACAGCCAAACAAAAAATCAGATCTGAGCATTCAACTCAAACAGAGAACTAAGGCTTACAGTGTTAACATAGAGAACGTATCACTGCCTTACTTGATATAAAACATAGCAATTAGCATCCCTCCTGTCTAGCTAGCAGGTCGAAGGCCCGTTTCACCAAATTTTGAATGTACACTATTTTCTTGCTGTAAGTTTGACACGTTTTTATAATCAAACGTAATACTTGCAATCCATACATGAGCCCTGTAGGCAGTTTTTGAACGATGATCATTTGTGAAACGGCTTGCTGTCAAAATTTACGGAAACCATCACTACCCTAAAATCTTCTTCAGATGGCATCAGAGTAGGAATCAAAGGGACATGCTCACCAAGCTTTGGCGAGTGTCATTGCCCGACACTGAGCTTTATTTTTACTTCCTTTTTTCTCTTGCAGCCAGTAAACACATTTCAATAAAATGTTCACTGTTTTTTCATCTTTCACACCACTCCTTTTTCCGTCTCCCTCCAGGTTCCAGGAGATGTGTTATAAAGCCTACCTGGCCATCCGACAGCATGCTAACCTCTTCATTAACCTGTTCTCCATGATGCTGGGCTCTGGCATGCCTGAGCTGCAGTCATTTGATGACATTGCCTACATTAGGAAGACGCTGGCCCTGGAGAAAACTGAACAGGTAATATGACTTTTCTCTTTTGTGATGTAATCCATTGGGTTCTGATCTTATTTTGTGTTTTTTAGATAGTTCTGAAACCTCTGCAAAATTATTACACCTACTCATTTATCTCTTTATTTTTTTTTTTTTTGTGAAGGAGGCTTTGGACTACTTTATGAAACAGATGAATGATGCTCACCATGGAGGATGGACCACCAAGATGGACTGGATATTCCATACAATTAGACAGCATGCACTAAACTGATCTCCTGCACACCAACAAAAAAATACCAGTCCCACCTTGGAGTAACAGCTCACTGATGATGGAAGTTTGCAGCTTGATTTTTTTATTTTGTTTTTAAGACACCAGTTAAAGCACTATTTTTTATTTATCCAAACGAGGTTCCTGTTTTTCTGCATTTTCCCCTCCATAATCATCTGCCTCTTTCTGTGGTCTTGATGGTGCCCTCGCTCTACTCTCTGCTTGTTCTGGGGTCCACAAGAGAGTCCTCTCGTCCTGGTGAAGACGTGCCCTACCTGGCCGATGCTCGTATCCTTGGCTACTATGCTTCCTCTGTTTTTTCCCCAACAAGGAACAAACTGGGTAACAAAGGAAATTTTGCCCCTTACCCCGCTGCTCTTGCTGGAAAAACACACATTGTATCTGCCAATCTATAAATGTAGCCACAAAGTAAGTTCAACTTACTGCCCTTCTGCTGTATAACGTCTGCACTGTGGCTCCACCCCAGAAAGGAGGTGCGTGGGAACCTTTTTTTTTTTTATTATTTTTTTTTAAATCTCATCACTGCTGAGAAGATAGCAGGCAGAAGGAACCGTCTAAGTGATCTCTCAAGATACAAGTGTTACTCAACTTGTTGCACAGTGCAGGATTACTGGAGTATGGGGGCCTCTATGATGACTACCACTGCACAGTCTTCCACCATCTTTGTGGTGAAGTTGCTCTCCTGAGCTGATTCAGTGTCAGCTTTCCCACCTTTTAACCCTTTTGTGAGGAAATTTCGAAGCTCAAAAACTGCAGAAGAGTCTCTGTGTTGTTTTGCACAGCTCTGCAGTCTCCCATGGCCTCATGAAAAAGCGCTCCACCCCCAGGAACATTTGGTGGTGGTGCTGCTTTAGACTGTTGCATATGATACTAACTTCAGGGTGATGATGCCTCTCCATCAGAAAAAAAAAACAGCACTTAGAAATACCAGAATAATATACAGATTTATTATGACTTTTTGAATTTATTTATGTATCTAGTCTCTTTCAGTTTCTACACAGGCAAAACTCCACTCTCCAGAGACACCCCATTGTTTTGTGTAAATATATTTGGAGGCTTTTTTGTATTTGTGTTTACCTATTTGCTTCCTTTTTCTGACAAACCACGTGCAACAGCTTTCCACTTTTTGTCGATTCCAGAGTTTTGCTCATATTCGTGAATTAAGACTGCTGATGCCTTTTTATCCTCTGTCACTTTTAAGTCAAACATCTCATTTGACATTATTAGTAGTAGCCCAGTTTGTTGTATTGTGGCTAGTTTGCTGCCCTACTTGGAATTTATACAAAAAAAAATTTGTTTGGGGATGCAAATTGGTGAGAAGGAAAGTGCCAGTGTCACATTTTAATATTAATGGGACCTGTTTTAAGCCTCTGGAGGTCTGTTTTGTTGGCGAGCAGAAGCCCAGGGGAATGTCACGTCTTCCTGCTGATAAAATGCCTTGGCGTCACAGCACAACACTCCATAACACTGCACACTGCTAAGCCCTACAAACTCTGCCTAAACCAAGTAAGCCAACCATGACAGCACTATTAACATGAATAGCATGAACGGCTAGATTTGACCTTCCTCGTATTATTTTTTTTACTTCTAACCATGTGAAGTTGATGGTCTTTAGCATGTCTCCCGTTTGAATGTTTTTAAAATGTCGACTCATGGTGGATAGTTTTTATTCAGAGTGCTTTTAACTGAGCCCACAACCCAGGCAGTTTTTGAGCCGTGCTCTCTGTTGCCACGCTCTTTATGTTAGATGCTGAGATTTTACAGATTTTTCCCAACAGAAACATTTGATTTTTAACGAGTTACAATGAAATGAAATGAAACACTGCATGTCGGCGAGATATAATCATGACAAGGCTTTGAACAAATCTTTCAAATTTGGTTGGATCCCTCAAAAGTGGGTGTAGCCTAGTGAATACAGAGTGATACGGAGCTGTGGAGGGCTGTTGGTCTCTGCCAACACCTTCCTCATGTGTTGGTTCAGGAGGGTGAGGAGGGCTGTGGTGGTGGTGGTGGTGGTGATACGAACTAGGGACAGTTTTATAAATGGTAAAAAGTTATGCACAGCTGCTTTAAGCTAGATTCTTTGCATGTGCAGACAAAGTTTTGGCTAACTCATATCCAAATACACACGCACCTTGTGCTGTTATATCACTTTGCTGGCTAATATAAGCCACTAGTTAATGGTGATGTGGTCTAATATGATGGGCAGTGGCAACAATCATGTTTCACTGAATTCATACACCTACAGGTTTAAGATGAGTCATCAAAATAACCTATTTTACAGAAAGACAGAAGAGCAGGGTTTTGATATTAAAACACTGAGAAAAAAAATGTACTTTTTAAAAAAAAAACACATTACATACAACAAGAGATAAAGATTAACATCGGGACAGGAAAAGCTTGATAAACGCATTTTTGGTCCATTGTGTCTTCAGAGCAGACCATTGTCACCCTGTCGTGTGAGATTAGCAATTCTCTCTAACATACTGTTCTAAAAGGTGTTTTTAACGATAAACAAAGAACCTTGAGTGACCGTTAACGGCTTTTCAGTTGAATTGAGAACTTCTCGTACAGTGTGCTTCGCTGAGAACAGAATGTATTGTACAAGAAAAAGGTGCCTCAGAGCAGCCTCATCAGCCCCCGACACCCTCACAATGTAAAGACACCTGGATGTGTGCATAGCTAAATTATTATCCTAGAAACTAAAGTGTGAAATCCAGTCTGCCAGCACAAGAGAAAGTGTGCACTTTGCCTGCCCAACTGTTGATTGTATTGAAAAGCCAAAGTTGTGCTCTGTTCTGATGTGGCGCATGTGTGTGATGTCCTGTTACTGCAGCATTTAATGGCTAGAATGTATTTAATTGCTGACATAGACCTTATGCGCACTCATCTTTTCTAGGTTCTTGTATCATCTTTGTTTGCTTCCTAAAGTCAGATGCAGTGCCACTGAACACGCAGTAGGTTCTCAGCAGAGATGGTCTTCTCTTCTTTTTCTTAACGTGCCAAATCAGGCATCACTGAGGCCCAGGAAAGCTAATGCTGGAATTACATCACGCAGTAGGGCGGTGAGTTCAGACAGTTACAGACGTTTTAAAAAAAAAAAAAGGAAAAGGTTGGGGTATGCACTTAAAAATCCTAGTTCTCATTGCCTTTTTGTCCAAAAGGACTCTGTAAGAAGAAAGTTAGCCTAGTAAGCATGTTTCTCAAGCAGCATAACCAGTGTGTATGGTGTACATTTTGACGCAGCATTAAGCAGTATGTATGTACAGTTACAGTCCAACTTCTTTTTCTATGGTAGGCTTCATGTGTGATGAACCTGTAGTGTTGGTATCTTTCCTGTCCTTTCCCATGTATCCCCCAAATTGATTGTGTGAGTGCGTTTGCGTGCATTGATTGTCTCTCTGTACAGGTTGCAGAGCTTCATTGGCTGGCCCCAATGAAAAACCCACACTGTGTGTATATACATGTCCATGTGTTTGTTTGTGTGACGACACTTAACTGTTGAAGTGGTGGTGTCTCTAAATGTTTTGTAAGCCTCTTCTCCCCCCCGCTGGCTGCTCTGTGCCAGAGAAGGAAAAACAAAAAATGCTGAAGTTTTTGCATTGTTTGTAAGGAAACATAAAGGAGGGGGAACTTTTTTCATACATAAGTTGTAAATGTTTTACTTGAAATATCATGAATGAAAACCACAGCTGTATTTTGTTGGTTTAAAGTTGAGATGGGGGTAGTGCAGTGTTTATTTAGTACTGACTGTGAGAGCGTGTGTGTGTGTGTATATTGTACTGTTGACAGTTGAAGCATTGTGTACAAGCTGTTTGATACTGGCGGTGAATGTAAGTGATGCCACAGCCCTGAATTTCAGTGAAGACGCAACTAAACTAATGAAGGTTGTGCTTGAGTCCAAACTCTTCAGACCAGGTGCAGTGAGAACTATGACGCAGTGTTTCGCAGGCTTTAATAAGATTTAATAATCTTAGATTTTCATCAGCCTCAAACTCGTAGAAGTTACGTCCAGCAGCTGATTAATAGTTCTCACATCTTCTCAGAGCATGTTTGTTTGTTTGAAAGTTCTCCTGACAATGAATTGGAGCAGGAATTGCAATATTGTTGCACTAGTTTTTCCTCTTTTTGGACTTTGATGGCACGCATGCACCAACGTCTCTGAAACACAGGTCCATATTTACATATCCGTCTGCCTGTATGGATAAACAATCTGCAGGAGTTTTAGTATCATATAATGATACGTAATGCCTGTACCTGCTGTTTTACAAAGTAAGATGAAGTTGGAAATAGTTGATCTTCGGCCGCCCATGTGTGCAGAAAAATACTGATTGATTTTCTGTGAAGTTTAACAGAGAGGAGGGAAATTGTACTGTGCCCCTGCTAATACAATCATATGGTCTGAGCTATGATTCCAAGATCAACAGTGGACATAACACAAACACCCAGATAATATAATGCACCTCAATGCAATATCCATGCAGTAAATGCTACTTTAGTGAAGCCTATATTGTTCTGTCTTTGATGAGTCTTTATTGAAAGGTGTTTCTGTTACTGTTCCTGTTTATTCACTTGATGGACAGATGGCCGTTGTATTTCGTGAATATGGCCGCAGATTTTCACCTGCTTTCTGTAAAGCAGTTCAAAACAGAGTCAGTCCCACTTTTAGTGCTGTTTGTTTAAACACAAACTGTGTTGTCTAAAAGCCTTTGAATGGGCTTTAAACAGGGTGAACGTCCAGGGTTTCAAACTGTTGCACTTCAAACAGCAAATATGACTAATCATGAAGATTATTGATCATTTGTGATCATTCTTGAGGCCTCTGAAGTGTGCTAAATTCTTACTTCAAGGAGAAACATTGACTAAACGGTCTGTGGATTCATGTATGCAGTGCTACATTACAGTGTACAGCTAATATATTTCCATAACATACCATGCTGTCAGAACCTTAACCTATACTATGAATGAATGTACAACGGGCCAATGTATTGTTTTTCCACAGCCTACCTGCATGAGATCGGGTAAAGATGAATTTTCATCTTGCTACATTGTTTGTTTGTTTAGTCTGCTAAGCAGCCATACAGATGTTTATAAATTAATGCCTTAAGTTTGCTCTGTGTAGGAACAGTTTCATCGTCACAATAACCTGCATTTTTTTTTTTATTTATAAATGTATATTGTGTTTCATTTTGGCTCCCTGGTCACAGAGTAAAGGTTTGTACCCTGACTGACTGACTGACTGACTGACTGGTCATCTGAGTGTTCTGTGAAGATGTACAAATAAATTTGTTAAACATTCACCCAGCTGTGTTTGCTCTCGCAGTGTACAGTCTGTAATGAAGCATTTGGTTAAATCTGGTACGCCATGACTCTAATTTTTGATTTTATCTTCAGGGTTTTCACTTCATCAAAATCTTAGTATAATAATAATAATAATATCTCAGTTTAAAAGGGAATTTCAGCAACTCAGAAGGACTAAATCTGATTGTTTATTCTCTGTGAAGAACAACAACATCAGTAGATCAGAACAACCATTTGGGTCAATGACAGTGCAACAACTCCGTTAAAGGAAATCATGGAAACAGCGTCAAAAACACTGAACTATTTCTCATGATAAAACAGAGCTGAATATTTATTATTTGTTATGAATGAGGTGCTTTTATGTTCACACTGAAACCAGCACAGGACATTTTATTTTCTTACAAATTTTTCCCGTTTGACAATGACAGGTTTACGATGTACCTTTTCCCATGTTCTCACATCTCTAATGAATCGACACTGAGAAAATTAATTGCTCATTATTTTGATTTACTCAAACTGACACTGGTTTTCCTCGTGTAACTAGCAATTAATGTGATAACAATCTAGAGCTCTGTCATAATTTTTAGTCCTTTTTTTTCCAGTGCTTACTGAGGAGTTACAAGGCTCCTTTTTTTAACCTGAACTGCTTATTTTATTAAGATTTCACATGTGTAGTTGTAAATCTTCATAACACCCCTGAGGATGTTCCTTCTAAAAAGAAATCCCTACAAATGCAACTTGAGGACTTGTCTTCAAAATAAACAAATAGATTTCTGATGGGAGAACATGACAAGTGAGATTAATTTGAATATAAATGTGTTTCCCTTGAGGATAAATCTACCCCAGCAGGTCTATATCGCTAAGGCCCCGTCTACTGTGGGCTGTTGGCTGCCATCCTCTGCAGCAGCCTTCGTAGGAGCTGCAGGTTGAACGGGATTGAAGGTTTTCCAGGGCTTGGCCGGGCAGTGGAAGGGGCTGTTGTTTGCAGCCTCTGCAGCCGCGTCAGGGGAGGTGGACGGCTTGGGGGCTGTGGTGTCCTCCTCAGAAGATTCTTCTTTGGTTGAAGCCTTGGTGGAGGAGGGTACGGATGAAGCTGAGGTTGGGGGGGATCTATTATACAGAAGATTCCTGAGTGGAGACCAGCCTGGAGGACGGCGCCTGGTGAACAACTGAGGGGAAAAAAAAGTACAGTGAGACAAACTTTGTGTCTTGCAGGATCAGCTGTAAAATGAGAAAACTGCTTCCACAGGTGGGCGGTGCTTGGGGCTCTTTATTCACAATTTTTTATTCATTTTATAGCTAGACAGTTACTAAAATAATTTCTGCAAACATTTGAGGCAGGAATAGACAACGCAGCGACAGAATCTTGATTCATATTTGATCAATGCTGCCGAGTTTGACGGTTTGACCGCAGTTCACAGAGTGATTGACAGGACTGACAGCTGCTTTAGAGACTCCTCAGCTCTGGTTGGTTGTTCTCATTCACATGCAGTGAGGCAAGGCAATCCAATAGGCTTATGAATATGAGGGGTGGGGGAAAAAATCAATACAGCATAGTATCGCGATATTTTTGTGTGGGAATATCGTATCGTCACACAATCGAGTATCAAGTATCAACTTTTAATTATATAAATGATTAACATTAGTAATACAAATTAAATTTTAGGTAGCCTATTAGAATAATATCATGAATTGCTTTTCAGCCCACTACATACATTTTGCTGCCGCTGCAAAAATGGCTGAACTGATACGAACAGACTGAAAAACTTTTTTTTTCCCTTCCTTTTTTAAAAAAAATAAAGTTACCAACTGTGGCTTTAATTTACCTTCCTCTAAACCTCTCCTTAAAACAGTTATTGTCCAGTCATGACTAAGCAACAGTAACTAAGATCAGAAGGTCTGATAAGAATATCTCAACATGCCAAAGCTCTTTGCATGCAGCTCCATCCTTACAGTGATACCTTAAATATTACTACATTATGATTTTTGGTTTGCCTTCCTAAACGTCCACTGTGTGGGAGCCCTTGTATCACTGCTCCCTGATGCTACTATTATGTACATAAGTAAGTTAAACTAACTTGATACAGGACTTTTAAAAACCAGGGTAACAAAATGCTTCACAGGCACAAGACGACAATAAAAGCATTCGAATAAATCATTGCAATAAACAAAAGCTAAAATTGTTTCAGAAATGAAAATAAATCAGGGGGATGAAGCATTAAAGTTATTGATAAAAGTTCAGGGTGACATTAGTGGCTGTCCTGCTCTTCATTGTGTTTCTAAGAGCTGTCTCATGTTTGACTATTTTGTGAAAAATGGGTCTCACCGAGGGAGGCAGGGCCCCTGCGTCACATTCCATCTGTGCCTGTGGGGCCTCAAGTCTCCATGGTGCTACATCCACTGTAGAGTTACAGTGAGCAAACTCCTGCACACATAAACACAGAGACAGAGACACATAAGGTCAAACAGAACAGATCATATTATGTCAGCTGTATCATGTGTTTTGTTATCATGTTTACCATATCCTGATCATCAGGGACACACAGTTCGTGGAGGTCTTTGTGTTCAGCCTTGGCGCAGATGGTCTTCCTCATATCAAACCTCAGCTTGAACCTGAAACCTGCCACCACCTACAGGGATACATACAGAGAGTAGGTAGGAAACGTTTTCTCCACCTGACCTCCATTCCTCCCACTTCCTCTCTCTTCACATCACCAAGTCTCTACCTGTCTGGTGGCGTGGCCGATACTGTGCAGGGTGAACAGGTGAGCGGAGTTGGACATGGAGTTGTACTTGGAGAGGGAGGCAATAACAGGAACCCTAAGTTCCTCTGAGTCCTCATCTATCTCCTCAGGGCAGCCAAGACAGGGAGCTCTCTCTGAAACGACGGGATCATCTGGATTGTGGAAAAAGAAAGATCTTAGGCCTTTTAAAACTGATTTTAGTAAGTCTTAATACATGCAGTGGAAAAAACAAAATCAAGTGATGTTACAGGCAATTATTAATGTGTTCAAGAAACTTTGTCTCTCATTTCTCATCACTATTACCACAGATTTGTGAAGTGCTTATAAGTAAAACATAAACAGATACAAACACTCAGTTAAATTAAATGCTGGTGTAAGAGGACTATAAAGGAGCTTAAAACCAGCCCAATCATATTAAATCCATAAAAATTATATTTAATGGGGAGACGTGTGATGGAGAGACTTGTTGAATGCAAGGTAATATGTCTCGTTTAAAACTGATAAAACACGCAACTGAGTTTGTGTCTCTAATGTTTTGAGGCTGATCAATAACAAAGTAATTTCTGACAGACTAAGCAAAGGATGAGCTAAATGTGCATGATGGGACATAAAATTGTTCACATTTTTGCAAAATAATCTACTTTTGCTAAAATAGAATAAAACTACCTTTGCAACCTGATAAAAAAAAGTGCGTAAGAGAGTGAAATCAAAAGAACAAAAATGTTGAATTTACACACGCTGTCAGCGCTGAGTTGCTGAAAATGAAATGATACATTGCCAACAAATATGTGTTGATGGTTCAACATTTATTGTTTTTTTGCAAGAAAATCCTTTGAAAAAAAGGGGCTCTAAATGCTCGGTTGAAAAGTTTGGTTTTGTTAGCAATTTTATATTTTTAAGTAATTAGTGCCCTAATTAAATTTAAATTGGCTGAATTAAAAAGAGACTGAACTTTCTATCACCCCTTAAAGACACAAAATGGTTTAGTACACCCTTACACTAAATGTAGCTAGAGTGGAGTGTATAACTGCTGGAGCAACAACATGTATGTCTTTCCCCAAGAAAAGAAATTGGGGTTCCAAAAAAGAAAAGAAAGAAGAAAGGAAAGGAAATGGAGAGAAAGCAAACTGACAAGAAGAGAAGAGAAGAGAAGAGACATGGAACAAGAGAGGAAGAAGGAAAGAGAAGAGAAGAGAAGAGATGAGAAGAGAAGAGAAGAAACATGGATCAAGAGAGGAAGAAGAAAAGAGAGGAAGAAGAGAAGAGAAGAAACATGGATCAAGAGAGGAAGAAGAGAAGAGAAGAGACATGGATCAAAAGAGGAAGAAGAAAAGAGAAGACAACAAACATGGATCAGGAGAGGAATAAGAGAAGAGAAGAGAAGAGAAGAGACATGGATCAAGAGAGGAAGAAGAGAAGAGAAGAAACATGGATCAAGAGAGGAAGAAGAAAAGCGAAGAGAAGAAACATGGATCAAGAGAGGAAGAAGAGAAGAGAAGAGACATGGATCAAGAGAGGAAGAAGAGAATAGAAGAAACATGGATCAAGAGAGGAAGAAGAAAAGAGAGGAAGAAGAGAAGAGAAGAAACATGGATCAAGAGAGGAAGAAGAGAAGAGAAGAGACATGGATCAAAAGAGGAAGAAGAAAAGAGAAGACAACAAACATGGATCAGGAGAGGAATAAGAGAAGAGAAGAGAAGAGAAGAGACATGGATCAAGAGAGGAAGAAGAGAAGAGAAGAAACATGGATCAAGAGAGGAAGAAGAGAAGAGCAGAGAAGAGAAGAGACATGGATCAAGAGAGGAAGAAGAGAAGAGAAGAGACATGGATCAAGAGAGGAAGAAGAAAAGAGAAGAGAAGAAACATAGATCAAGAGAGGAAGAAGAGAAGAGAGGAGACATGGATCAAGAGAGAAAGAAGAGAAGAGAAGAAACATGAATCAAGAGAGGAAGAAGAAAAGAGAAGAGAAAAAACATGGATCAAGAGAGGAAGAAGAGAAGAGAAGAGACATGGATCAAGAGAGGACCCTTACACTAAATGTAGCTAGAGTGGAGTGTATAACTGCTGGAGCAACAACATGTATGTCTTTCCCCAAGAAAAGAAACTGGGGTTCCAAAAAAGAAAAGAAAGAAGAAAGGAAAGGAAATGGAGAGAAAGCAAACTGACAAGAAGAGAAGAGACATGGAACAAGAGAGGAAGAAGGAAAGAGAAGAGAAGAGAAGAAACATGGATCAAGAGAGGAAAAAGAAAAGAGAAGAAACATGGATCAAGAGAGGAAGAAGAGAAGAGAAGAGAAGAGACATGGATCAAGAGAGG